CACGGCGGCCCCCCCCCCCGGATACGTCCATGGTAATGAACATTAATAAAAAAATATAAGATAAAACAACAAAAATTATATAGATCTCAACAACAAGTTGAAGATCGTCACACTACGCCAAACTCATGAGCGCCGCCATATTGTTTACATGTCAGAGGTCAGACAACGAACAAGTCATCGACCGTGACCAGGCTTATCAGAAAACATGTGGTACATAACGCTCGTTACACAATGCACCGTATTATTACCCTAGTAGCCAGACCAGGTTTTGTATGCACTTTGAGGTCCAAAGAATTTGACTTCAGAAATTGATTTAGGGTGATTCAAGAAACATTTTTGGCATGGTAACACATTTTCAAAATGTGGTGAAAGGTCAAAAGGTCAGGGTCAAAGGTCATAGCTATACGTTCGTCATATCTCCGAAACCGGTGGTAGAGAGTTAATTTTGGTGCCTGTCTATTTGTTCTGAACATTCATGTTTCTATTTTCTCTAATGGAACATTTTGCTATAATTGACCGGAAATGCTGTTTCTAACCTTTGACACGTTTCAAGGTCATAGCAATAGGGTAATTATATCTCCGCAACCACTGGTGGTAAAGAGTTAATTGTGGTGCTAATATGTTCGAAACATTAATGTTTCTATTTGGTTTAATAGAAAAGTTTGCTAGAAAATGACCGGAAATGCTGTTTTTGACCTTTGACATGTTTCAAATATCATAGTTATTGAGTCCTTATTATCTCCACAACCACTGGAGGTAGAGAGTTAATTTTGGTGCCAATGTGTTCGGAATACTCATGTTTCTATTTGCTCTAATAGAATTACATTTTACTAAAATACGACTGGAAAAGCCGTTTCTGACCTTCGACATGTTTCAAGGTCATAGCCACAGAATCACTTTACATACACGGTAATACTGTACTAATAATACAGTTTCAAGATTTTAAATTACTGTATCTTTATACTAACAAGTTTATGTATAAATCACAAGTTGTTTTCAGTTAATATTTCGTGAGTTAAATCACTCATTTGGTAGGCCTATATGATATTCCGAATTACACAAAGATGATGCGGTTTACATTAAAAAATCATCATACATTAGAATCATAGTTTTACATATTCTTTCTTAACAACTTAATCTGAAATAACATTGGTTTAAACTAATTAACGATAAAGAACGTTTTAAAATACAAATAAGAACCCACCAATGATCAACAAAGGTACAATCTTAGTGACTCTACTGAGAGCACTATACGAGACGTTCTTCGCCTCCAACATACCAGCACAGACTCTGCCCCACCCCCCCTTATACCTTATCACCCTTAACCCACCTCAAATGTGCCCAAAAATATAAATGTGCTAAGTGCCTAATAACAACAGGGCGCGAAAGACCCTGTGTGAATACTTACAGCACTGACTGATACGTTGCAATATCAATTTATAATATGTTAAAATTATGCAGGCATCACGAGTTAGGATAATACAGAATACATTATGCAAAGTAATCGAACATATGGGAAGCAATTGAATTTGATAATTTATCAACAAGTGACGCAAACTAAAGATTAACATATGGTTTTGTTATTAATAGGTCTGTAGACAATATTGAATGTATATATCTAACATATATATACATACGGTATATATATATATATATATATATATATATATATATATATATATACAGTATATACATAATATATACATATATACGTTACTGCTGTCTCTTATACACATCTAGATGTGTATAAGAGACAGGTATTATTAAACAAACATTTAAAGAAACTTGCAAAAGGAGTTATGTGCTACTCATCTATTTTGAAACTGTTGTGTCCTCTCCTCACCCACCAGCCCCTGGTTTAAATTCCTAAATTATTACAGTATTATAAATACCACATATTGTATGTAATGTCTTAACGTCGCTAAACGTTAAAAAGCGGTTCAAACAAAATTCATAGTCGTACTCAGCATATGTTTACGCGTTCATAATAATAGTTTCTTGGTGTAATTTTCTAAACCGGATATAAATAACGAATAATCATATGATATAACAGTGAACAGACGCATGGCGTAACACTGACAGTGAGCAATTTAAGAACGAATTATCAATGGTGTATACAGTAAAGAACAATTTACGAACGATACGAACGGTGTAAGATTTAAGAACGGTTCAAACTGAAACCTAATGATATAAAAGAAATCAGATCTATGGAATACGCTATCTATGCAATAGTAATTAAATGAATAGTATTATTAAACTAATTTAATCGTTATGGTTTCCAAAGATAATTAAAGTAATAATGATAAATATAAAATATAAACTCACATCTTTGAGTTTATTCTTGTAAAATGATAATGAAAAAAGGAGCTGAAAACACGCAGCGCGAAAAGTTTAAAGACTCTGTGTTGTGGAAGAAAAATTGTTCTTGAGACCCATGACGTAATGTCTGCGCGTTCTTATTGGCAAAACTTGTAATAGGCTCAACCTACCTACAAAATGCAAACCCAGCCTATAGATCAACAAAAGCGATAACGAAATATAGGCCTAACTCACTCATACTCATTACCACATGATGCAGATGTTTTTTAGAACGGCAGCGAATATTTTTACGTGGTTGTCAAGTCAACAGAAAATGAAAATGGTAGGTTTATAGTCAAACCGACTGTGTATGGGCGTGTAGGGCCTATAGTACAATTACATCAATCGATGGAAAACAACTAAAAGCCAATTACATCAAAAGGGCATTTCGCCTGGTATAATTGAGTGCATAATATAATTAAATGTTAACACTGTATAATAATAACCAAAAAGAAAACTGTAGGGGTTTAGAAGATAATCTTTATGTTGATAGACTCAAGTGAAGCTCAAGTAAAAATTAATTCAATTTAATAAGGTTAACGGCACACTCGCCGTTGCATTTGACCTTTCGTAAACCTTTCTTGCCGTCCATCTATTCTGGAAATGTTGTGTGTGCCCCTTCCCCTGTTTCGGAAAATGCTGGATCCGCCCCTGATTTTAGATGGAATAATACCCAGTTTACCATTTCTTTAAAGAAATTTATTTGGAGTGGAGATAAATTGCATGTTAACCATTTATTTTCAGTAACCTCATTTTTTTTCCAGCTATAGAAGCAATAAGAAAAAGATGGGTTGCCAGTCTAATGAAAGCAATAGTTTAGTTTCATATTTTTAATTAAAAAAAAAAAGAATTAATATTAACAGCCTAACCTACTTAGATAATTGATAAGATTCATTTTGTAGATACCACACTACTACTACATGCCCCTGCCGCCGCCGCTGCGGCTGCTGCTGGAACTTTACAGCAATTCTATGCCTAGTCTTGTTTTAATTATTTTTACATAAATAGCAATGGCGAACCTTATAAATACTAAACTTTACCTTATAAAAACTGAACCTTAAGAATATCAAAGTTTCTAGTGAGCTTGACCCTGTAATCGTATGGACAGCACGAAAGCAGAAATGATGATGTAATCCAATCAATCATGTGTATGGAACGCCCAAAGTGTCTTCGGCCGCGGCGGCGACTTCCCATCCGGCGGCGACCATCAAAATCGGATAAAAAACTACACTACGTACATTTTCTTTTTAATGGGGAGTAAAAGTAAGGAGTTATAATTTAAATTAATAAAATAAAATAACGACGTAATGATTGTCTACGCTGGTTTGGTTATTATGTTCAGGCGTCGCGTGTGTTGAATGACAATGGCTCAGGTGTGTGCCTATTTAAGGGAACAATCAGGACGAGTACTTATACGAGTGTTGCAAATTGTGAGGAATGCTACTTTCATTGCTATTATTATTATTATTATTATTATTATTATTATTATTATTATTATTATTATTATTATTATTATTATTATTATTATTGTTATTATTATTCCTGCATTGTTGTTAAGATCCTGGTTATGGTGTTATCATTGTTGACGACGATTAATACATTTATCTATTATATTTATTGACAGTAGAAACGTACTGATAGATTCGTATAAATACTGAAATTCATGAGCAGGCCCGTAGCCAGGGGGGGTTTTTATGGTTCGGGCGAACCCCCCTTTTCTAGCGAACCCCCCTGTTTTCTAGTGAACCCCCCTAGAATTTTTGAATGAGTCCCACTCGGACGGAATGTCTGTTTTTAACTTGCCCAGCATTAAATCAAAATTTAGCACCTAATTCATTATTTGGTCACCCGATTTTAAAATGTTAGCCTGCGATACAAGCCCTGTCTCTTATACACATCTAGATGTGTATAAGAGACAGGTGCACTGCACATGGTTGCTGTTTCACGTACACGAACGCTAATTGGTTGGCTCGCCCAGTGCAGCGCACATGGTTTTAGTTTGTCT